GTATTCAACACCAAGAAGTTGAGTCATTTAAATTGAGATAACAAAACAGAGCAGAATGCTGCTCTGGGAACCAGTGATCCTTCACCTCTCTTGAATTTTCCCCAATTTTTCATTATCCTCAGTGGAGCGTATGAAAGCTCAGGCTGCAGAGGCTGCTAGAAAGCAGCTGGAGGAAATGCAAAAGAAGACCCAGGAGATGATAGAGCAGAACGAAAGAAGCTACCATGAGCATATAAAGCAATTGACTGAAAAGATGGAAACAGAAAGGAAACAGTTAGAAGAAGATCAAAGGAGGGCCCTGGATCTGAAACTCAAGGTAAGCAATCCATGAATTCATGCATAACAAGTAGTTTCTAATCTTTAAAATTCTATATTAAAAAAAAAAAAGATTCAAAGAACTTGGGAGCTTGGAGGGATAATCAAAGCCACTCCCTCTCATCTGAGTCAACTCTTGACAATGGTCTCATAGAAATCCTCCATCTAGGAGCCACCCAACATGCAGGGCAAGTCCCTTGACTTTTCTTGATAAAGAGGCTAATGGAGCATGTGAAGTGTCTGCTGGTAACTTCTCACTCTTGTCACATGATTTTTTCAAATCAAACTTCTCTGATTAATAGTATCCCTTATCCTGATTTTCTTGAGCAAACCATAATTGGTAATGTACCTACTCATACCTATAATATGCTTCTCCTTCGCCCTTTGGATGATCCTCAATTAATGAAACCAAGTAAATTTAGGTTTCATAGACCACTGTTTCAGTCTTTCCTACTACATGATTATCACTCCATTTTTTTTTAGAAATAAACATTTTTATTTCAGAATTCCCAGTTCCTTTCCTTATTTCACCTTTTCATAAATGGTGAAGTGCTTTTTTTAAATTTTGCTTAATGTCTTTTAAAAATTGTAATACTTTTTTTATCACTTCTTAAATTGTTTCTATTTCTCTTACAAAAGATCAAATGCCCTACTTTGCAGCATATGTGATGTCATGCTTAAAGTATCCTATTATTTTTGTTGAGAAATTATTGGCCTATGAACCAGGAACTCTCCCTAGACCATATCTGGTCTCCCTAGAATAGACTCTCCCCAAATCTATTCAATTGCAAGCTTTTGTAAAAAAAAATTCTTTGAGGTCTCTTTGGGTTTTGAATGCCATTTTCTGTATCCAGATAAAATTA